AATCGCTGGATCGAACTGTCGTTGACCCAATCGTTGACCGATCCGATTCAGGTAAAAAATATTTTTTTTTGAATTTTCTAATTTTTTTTATATATTATTATTTTTGTTATTTTAAGTTTTTTTTTTATATTTATGCATGATAAGTTTTAATTTTGTTACGATAAGTTTTTTAATTGTTTTAATAATAATAAAATGAAAACAAAGTATGATAACAATTTAAAAAATATTAAAAATGCTTAAATAATAATAATAGAATAATTATTATTATTTTTTTTACCTAGATGTTGGAGGGAATAAAAAATATTTTTTTAAAGAAATAATTTCGCCTAAATGTTGGAGAATTATTATTAATAAATTTTCATAAAAAAATATATATAAGAAATTTTTTAATTTTTAAAAATCATTAAAATTGAACTTGCTTCGAAAATCCATCAAGATACTGGAGATTTTTAAATTCAAAACCCTAAAATCCGAAACCTCTAAAATTCAAAACCCCATAAAATCCGAAATCCCAAACCTTTAAATTCTTAAATCCAAACCCTTAAAATCCAAACCCTTAAATCAAAATCCCAAACCTCAAATTTTAAAATCAAAACCCTAAAATCTTCAAACTCTAAAATCAAAATCTTAAACCTTTTATACCTTAAAACCAAACCTTAAAACCTTTAAAATCTGAATCTTCAAAATCTGGAAACCTTAATCTTTAAAACATCTACTCAAGCCCTTACTCAAAACATCCTAAAAATCCTAAGGACACGTGTGAAATTTCATTTGAAGCAATTTGTTCCCGAATGTCGCCTAGATGATTAAGGTATTTAGAAAATTTTACTTCGTGAAGTCTTTTGACACGATTTCTTATTTTGCATTAATAATAAGATTAATAAATAAAAAGTATAACAATAAATTGAGATCTTAAATATAAACAATCGTACCTAAGCTCTGCCTAGATGTTGGAAAGTTAGGGTAGTCTCATTATACCAAAGAATCCAACTTTAAAATTACATTTTATCCTACATAATATTCATTGGCATACATACGTTAGCAAGTTATTATTAGAGATTATTTGTATTATCCTGTCTTTAATTTTTATTTGCTACTTGGTAATAAAATATTTTGTAATAAAAAAAAATAATACATTTAAAATTTTTTTTTATATTATAAAATAAAAAAATAACATTCCGAAAGAAATAATTATTTATATTATGCCTAGATGTTGGAAAGTCACCAACAATTTTCTATAAAGAGTATTATTTCATTTTAAGGATTGTTGTGTTAAATTTTAAGCGAAAAAAGTTATTTTAAATTCTACCTAGATGTTAAAAAATTTTAAGATAATTCTTTAATTTAAAGATTTTCTCAATATTTCTAAATAAAAACTTTAACAAAAATATTTTTTAAAACGAAGGGAATTAATTTTAAATTTCAAGTCAAAATCATTTTTATCCAACACTGAGAATAGCGCATAATTAAATGGTACCAATTTATGGGTATTGTAAGGGTGTTAATCCTTCCTCACACGTAACCGACTCCTGGATCCAATCTGATTTTCGTAGGCCAACATTTGTCTTTTTTATAAACTTTAAACTCGTTTTTATAGTTTTATTAAAAAGATAAATTTTTGGGTGACCAATCACATCATAAAACAGATTGGTGGTGACTCTTCTTTTATTTCTCTTGATTTTTAAAACTGTTTACAACTGACGGTTCCAAAACTGTTACGACAATTTTTAAACTTTAAAAGTTATAATTAAATCTTAAATTATCCAAATGTGTATTAATATAGTTTTTCAATCAACAAAACCATATAATTTGACAAAATATTCTCAAGTGGAATTAAAAAATAAGAAATTTAAATACGTGGAATTAAAAAAGTAAAATATGTGAATTTAAAAAAATCTTATTTTTTTCATTTCTCTATTCTCTCTCTCTAGCTCATACCCTCTCTTACTAAAAAAACAAAATCCTCCATTCTGTAAATCGACTACCACCCAAAACTACAAAAAAGGCGATCGACCACCGCCCTCCATCATTGGTTGCCATTGTTAGTGCCTATTTGCTTCCAAAATTTACTCAAAGATTCCTCTCCTTATTTTCTTCCTATTTATCCAAATAATTTCTTGAAAACAATCCCCAATTACCTAGATTTACAAGCAAAAACCGGGGCTTCCACCCAAAAAATATTATCTTCCACCGTTTTATATGGCTTGAAATTTTAGTATATTATTCCCTTACCTTTGTTCTTCCTTTCCTCCAACTTTCAAGCAAAAAATCTCCTCCAAACTATGAAAATCCGCAATCCCTTTTCCTAAACTATTTTTTTTGTTGTTGTGGCTTTTTGTGCTTTCTATGATTGCTTTATTACTTAGAAAATCGTGGCTAAATTTTTCTTATGCTTCCGATTGTTTTGTTTTGTTTAGTTTTTTTTTTATTTTTTTGGTTAAGTGGGGTGAATACCAGCTAGGCAGATGAGAACGCTGTTTGATAGGGGGTTTTGGTGGTCTCTATTTTTTGAGTGGGCTGTAATGGAGGCAATAGATGGTGGTGATTTTTGGAGAGCTCGAGTTAAGGGTTGCTTTTTCTTCTTTCTTTTTTTTTATTTAATTTCATGTATTTAATTTTTTTTAAAATTTCATTTATTTAATATGTGTCATGCCACTTAAAATTTTCGCCAAATTAGATGATTTTATTGATAAAATGACTATATTAAAACACATTTAGATAATTGAGAACTTAATTAAAATTTTTAAAATTTAAAAATTAAAATGGAATATGACTTAAATTTTAGGGATCACTTGTGCTATCTACTAAAAAAAACTTTGAATCTTGATGTTTACATAACTTAAAAACCTAATTTACTTAAATATCCTTTGTATTTTTAATTTTGCAAAAAAAAAATCTTTCTTTGACTAATATGCCCTTATACATGATATGGATGTTGTTTGTTTACTTTATTTGTGTACCTAATGATGGTAATACCTCTCCCATGTGAATGGTCATCTCTGATTAATTATTTGTGCAATTAATGGCATATTGATTGAATGGCCCCACTTTTATTGCATTATTATATTGCACGACCCATCATATTTTTAACCCTAATCAAGAGTAACTGAATTTGATGGCAAAATGTAGAAGAAATTCTTTTATTTTCTTTCTTTATTTTCTCAACTTCTGCTTTTCTTTTTCTCCCTTTTACCAAAAAAAATTCTTTTATTTTTTTCCTACTTTCCTTTTCATATCTTTTCACCCCCACATTTGTTGGCAACTCTATCTACCACAATAGCTTCATAAGTCTTTTAGATTTGACCCAAAAGTTTTCTGCTTTCCAATACTGAAACTTCTCAACATTTAAAGTACAATTTCTTATATATGTTCAAGAATAAAACTATTGAAAAAAAATAAAACTATAAATCCCAAATTCTCAATCTCTTAATTTTTTAAAAAAGACATAATAACTAATTAATTAGATCAAACTCGAATTGTTAATATTGAAAAACAGTTTTTATAATTTATCGAATTTAGACAAGTTGATTGCCATCCGTCAAAATTTGATCCTAGTTTTCATCCATCAAAATTTACATATCAACTCATAAAAGTATAAAACTGTTGTGATGTATTTTTTTTTAATTTGTGGAAAAAAAACTTGTATGAATAAATTTCAGGAGCTTGATAATTACCAAAATTTGAAATAAGTGAAATAAATAAAAAATTATTTTTTATAGAATTTAAATAAAATATAAAAAATTGAATATGAAATGATGAATCTTATTTGAGAAATAATGTTACAAAAATAATTCTCAACAACCCTATCACACAACAAGTCATTTTCCACTAAACAAGTGCACTGATAAAATGGGACCTTAGAATTTGAAAACAATGCAAGAAAAAAAAATGTAACATTGCTTCAATCACATCCCACACTAATTGTATGGATACAAAGCAACTTTCTGGGGACAAAATTAGAGAAACATGCAATTGACTCACCAAAGTTTAAATGGTCCCCTAAATTCACAATAATTTTCTTCTTTTTTTTTTTTGTAATTTTCCAAATAACCGATCAATCTATCAAGTAATTTAAACAGATCTTAGCCATGGAAATTCTTGCTCTTATTTATTATGGTAGGTTGCAACCAATTTGCTTCAATTCATAAATGGCTTGGCCCCCAATACCATGACCTACATCTAACCTGTTTAATTCAACAGCGGATCCCACTGCAAATGTCTCTTTTGTAAGATAAGTTTATGCAAATTTTTTCTTCTAACAATTATGAAATCCCCAAATATTTTGTCAAAACTTTTCGATTGTCGCCATCGCCCCCGTAGGACCCCTTCTTGGCCACAAGCTGTGTGTACCATAATCTCACCCACCAAGTTGAAAATTATGAAGAAGGAGAAAACAAAAAATCTTTAGCCGATATTCAGATCATTTTACAAAAAACCAAGGGTATTTTGAATAATTAATTACTACGATTTTGGAGCTTTAAAAAATCAGACATTAAAAATTTTCATGTTTGCTAATAAAATTTTCCTTTTAAAATATTGGCTCCAATGATTAAATGGCTCACCATACCGGATTCATTGGGATCCATGTTAGGGGCATTTTAGACATTTTATTGAAAATATAGCCAACCGCCATTGAAACTCTAAACACTAAAAGAAAAACAAAAAAAGAAAAAAAAGGAAAGTTGATCTTCAACTTTCATTACATCCAATAAATTTAAACATGGAATGATAATCCAACATAAAAATATATGAAAATTATAAAATTGATATAATTTAAATTTTTGATAAAAATTATATGTCAATTTAATAAAAATAAAAAATATTTCATATTTAATATATTAAAATAAATTATAATACAAAATTTTATATTTCATAAATATTTAATATAAATATAAATAAAATAAAAAAACACAAATTATTAAATTTAACTTAAAAAAATAAAAAAGTGTATAAAGCTGAAGATGACGGGCCGGGTTTTAACTAAAATAGCTGGACAGACAAAAACCAACTAATTATCACCATCGTCTCTTTGCGCAGCTGTTGATAAAATTCCGTAATATTTATTTATTTTTTCTGTATTATTGTATATCTTTCTGTGCCACCTTCTAATTATTACTGAGAGAAAAGAGAACGCCCCGCTCCTCTTTGCTGTCCTTTCTTTTTAACCAACAAACCCTTTTAAAAATAATAATTCAAAAAATTGTAAACACCCTGAAGATTCCACTGCTAAAAAGAAAAAAAATTACTATTTTTTTAATTAAAAAAAAATCTTGAGATTGACAAGCAGATCTCACAAACCAAAATAAATTAATAAATTCACCCATATACAAACCATCTTCCAAAAAAACCCTTTTGAAAGAAAAAAAAAATTCACCACCCTCTTTTCTCTGTTGATAGGTTGGATCATAGGAATAGAGACATACAAAGTTGAAATAATTTCTTTTCCGTATTTGTTAAGTTTAATTTTAATTTTTCCCTTTTTTTCATTGAAAGCTGTAAGTAAATTGCAAGCTCTTGCCAAGAGGGGGCCAAAGAAGAGAAAGAAAGAAGAAGCTGTCGTATCTAAAAAATCATATATGCTGGGTGGAGGTGACACTACTGGTGGCGACGTCGCTGCTGCTGCTGCCGCTGCTGCCGTGGTTACCAGCAGCGGAGCTCGAGATGGAAGCAGTGAAGCTGCTGCTGCCACCATGCTTGGCTCCAACGGCAATAATAACAATTCGGGTGAGGATGATAGAGGTAGGGTTGATGAAGGTGACAGTTCTTTGGGAGGCAACCGATGGCCGAGGCAGGAGACTTTGGCACTCTTGAAAATAAGGTCCGACATGGATGTTACCTTTCGTGACGCTAGCGTTAAGGGTCCATTATGGGAAGAGGTTGCCAGGTGATTATTATTATTATTATTATTTACTTTCCTTTTCGTTTATTTTTATATGTTCTTTTTGTTGATAATTCAATGAAGATTTGAGTTCGTTTAAAGTTCATGAGTGGAGATCTGTGTTTTCGAATTGTTTACTTTCAGGTTTGTACTTACGGGAAAGCATTAGAGTGGGAGAATTATATTCTTTTGTTTGATATTTTGTAAGGAGGAAAATATAGTTCAAGTTGAGGGAATTCAGCATCTTCAAGGGGGAATTCAATGTCGTATGATTAGGGATTTCTTGTCATTTCTGGCATTTGCTTTTCCCAATATTTCACAGGGAATCTTAACATGAATTTTGGCTCATAAACTTTACTTCATGTCTCCCCCCCCCCAATTCATTTCTTCACTCTCATTTTGTCAAATTCTCTCTCAAAAAAAAAATATGCATCTTTGGTGGGGAAAACTGTGTTCATCAGCATCAATTCGTGGTTTAATTTGTCTCGAATTCTATAATGCCTTTTGTCTTGAGCTCTTTCATTTCCTTTTTCCTTTTTACTTCTTTTGCTTCTCTAATTTCTCTTTGTCTCAATTAAATATCAAATTCAATTCATAGTTTATTTTATGTGCGAATACTGTTTGGGTCTGTTTTGTTGTTGAATTATTGATAGGATAAAAACAGAAATGGAGTTGTTTTTTCTACTGTTGATATCAGGAAACTAGCAGAGCTTGGTTATCATCGAAGTGCCAAGAAATGCAAGGAGAAATTCGAGAACGTTTACAAGTATCATAAGAGAACCAAAGATGGTCGAACTGCTAAATCAGATGGCAAGACTTATCGGTTTTTTGATCAATTAGAAGCCCTCGAAAATAATCCTTACATTCGATCTCCAGTAGCACCACCACCACCACCAACGCAACTAAAGCCTCAAGGTCAAACGGCAATGCCAGCAGCTAATCCTCCGAGTCTGGCTCATGTCACTGTTCCATCAACAACACTCGCCAATTTGCCACAAAACATTGTACCACCAAATATAAACCTTACAGCCCCTTCCTTCCCATCAATAAACCCTACAATTCAACCCCCACCGCCGACAACAAACCCTGTAATTTCTTCTTTTCCTAACATTTCAGCAGATCAAATGTCGAATTCGACCTCCTCATCGACCTCATCAGATTTAGAATTAGAAGGTCGGAAGAAGAGGAAAAGAAAATGGAAGAATATTTTCGATAGGCTAATGAAGGAGGTGATTCAGAAGCAGGAGGTGATGCAGAAGAAATTCTTGGAAGCAATAGAGAAACGTGAGCATGAAAGAATGGTCCGTGAAGAAGCTTGGAGGATGGAGGAAATGGCAAGAATAAATAAAGAACGCGAGATATTAGCCCAAGAAAGATCAATTGCTGCGGCAAAGGATGCTGCAGTAATGGCGTTCTTACAAAAATTATCTGAGCAGCAAAATCCTGGGCATGCACAAACTAATCCAATACCGTCTCAGCAACCGCAACCGCCTACACCACAGCCAGTACCGGCGGTGGCACCGGCAGGGCTGCCAGTAGCTGCAGCAGTGTCATCGCCTGCTCCACCACTAGTACCGCTGCCGGTGGTGAACTTGGATGTGTCAAAGACTGAAAATGGCGATCAAAGTCACACACCAAGCTCTTCAAGATGGCCTAAAGTTGAGATTGAAGCATTGATTAAGCTAAGGACTAGTCTTGACTCTAAATACCAAGATAGTGGTCCCAAAGGACCATTATGGGAGGAGATATCATCTGCAATGAAAAAGCTTGGCTACAATCGCAACGCCAAAAGATGCAAAGAGAAATGGGAGAACATAAATAAGTACTTCAAGAAGGTTAAAGAAAGCAACAAGAAAAGGCCCGAGGATTCAAAGACATGTCCCTACTTTCACCAACTTGATGCTTTATATAGAGAAAAGAACAAACATGACAGCTCCTCCAATCAATTAAAACCCGAAAACTCAGTCCCATTGATGGTGCGCCCAGAGCAGCAATGGCCCCCTCCTCCTCCGGAGCCCGCTCACCACAAACAGGATCATGTAATGGAAGACATGGAAAGCGATCAAAATCGAGACGAAGACGACAAGGACGGCGATGATGAGGAGGAAGATGAAGGGGATGGCTATGAAATTGTAGCCAGCAAAACGGTTTCAATGGGCACAGGTGGATGATATCAGTGTCAGAAACAAACCAGCTAGCACTTTCAAATTTCATGGGCCAGGAGTCAGGCAGATAAATGTCAAGAAGCAATTCTTTTGAGTTGATGTTCTTGCAGCTATCAGCCCGGTAAACGGGTCAGGAATATCCTGCAAAGGTGCATTGGAGCGGAAGCATTTGAATTGAATTTTTATAGGTGAGTAAACATTGGTGGGGTTGTAGCATATCGTCAGTGGAATTTGTATGTTTATTTTCATTATTATTTATTTTTTTGGCTAAATAAATACGTTGAGACCGAGGGTAGATCAGATTGAGAGGTTCAGAATCTCATTCCACATAATAAGCAGGAAAAAAAGAGACTAGTGCAGTAAACTTTTTTTTTTTTTTTTTTTTGTGTTCACTGCTCTTGTTCACGCTGCTTGTAAACGTGGGTAATTTCTAGCATATGCTTTTTGTGGTTTCTGTTTTGCCTTCCAAGTTTTCACCATGTCAGTTGGACAAAATAGAGTTGGCATTTCGGGTCTACGATCAAGAAAAATTAGAATATTTTTAATTTCAAATTATTTTGAATTTGGATCATCTTCAATTTGGAGTTTTCAGATTTAATTCTCGAATTATTAAAATTCGAGTTATTTTAAATTTAAATTGTTGGATTTGAAAAAAAATCAATTTAATCTCAAAAAAAATTATATTTATCATTGAGTGGTTCAGGTTGGGATCATTTTAAATTTAAGTTAATTTGAATTTAAATAGATTCAAATTCAGATTGAGTATTATTTTTTTAAATATCTTTAATTAAATTTGGTTGGATTGGATGAAATTTTCAAATTTGGATAAGTTTTGTAGCTCCACACAGAAGACTTCCGTGAGCTAGTTTAGCTTCTGCTATGAGAAATTAAGAGAAGCTTTTCATGCAAAGGGTTTCAATGCAAATGGTGGTGTTGCTGAAAAGGCGATGAGTTACTTCCCCATGGGGGAGAGTCTGATATAAAATAAATAAATAAGGTTAGACAAAGGGCAGAATCACAGCCATTTTGCAGAGAGGCTTCTGCCAGAATATGCCAACATCACATGCAGTAATGGGACCTCGCAAACAGGGTCCACTTATTAAAAGGAATCTTCTAAATTTGTTAATCGAAAGACCTAATAAATTCATACAGAATTTCATAGGTTTAGGTTGTTTGATTGCAGTAGTAATTCATGATGTCAGTGCCAAGAAATAGCATCAGAGCAAAAAGACCGGACTCCAGCTCTGACATTTATGTTAATGAATTACATTTTGTCTGTATCAAATTAATTATTGCATATATAATGCTTTTGAATTAATTTTATTTTTTTATATATATATATATATAAGAAAAAAACAGCTTTATTGAAAGCCACAATTCAAATATACCTTTATCTTTATGCATAAAATGAAGCTAGTTTAATTATCAATTCATCGAAAGAGGAAAAATCTAAATTAAATTACTTTCCAGAATAAATGATAGAATTAGTTAAATCGTTGTGTGGAAGTGACAACTTTTAGTGCTTTTATATTATTTAGAAGCAATGCTAGCTACTTGTATGTATCTATAACAATTGGGAATTTTAAGAATTATTGGTAATTTTGTAGAAAACATCATTCATTTCCTTCTTGCATCCTCAATAATTAATTTGGTATTTTTATATAACAAGTTACGATTTTTCTTTTAAAAATATACACACACACAAATATATAAATATATATATATATGTTTATGTGTACACAAGGGCATAAGTGTGTTTTCACAAATCACGACAAATATATCATTATAAAAGAGATAAATACTTTTTCATGAATGAGATTGGATTTTTTAATAATTAATTAATTGATTTTTGAAATGCTTATTTGATGGATATGTTTTTATTTGGTTAATATAATAAATAACTCTTAAACTATAATAAAATATTAAATATAGTACATGAATTTTAAAATTTTTTAATATGATACTTGAATTATAAATCTATTAATTAATATATTATTTACTTTTAATACAACTAATAGTTTCAAATGATGACACGAATAAATAATCATTCAAGTTTTATATTAATTAATAAATTTATAATTTATATACGATATTAAAATTTTTTTAAATTAAGATATTATATTAAATATTTTATTATATATAATTTATAGGTTATTCATGACATTAACCCTTTTTATTTTTACTTAAAATTGGTTCGAATCCTATCCATTCTCCAAATAAAAGCAAAGCGCATATTCAACTCCCTAGAGTACTAAGTGCTCCATATAGGATCCTTTTATATATGAAATCATATTACCGTTTTTTTTTTTTTTTTTTTTTTTCATTCTCCAATAACCTTTTGCTTTTCTTAACTAAAATTGTCATTTTACATATTTTGGTAAACAAATTTGTAGCAGTTAATATAATTAATTACATAATTAGGATACTTACTAGTAGCTATTAGCATTTTCAAAGTGTTTCATCATATTATTCTTTTTCTTTTTCTACTTGTATATTGATCAATAATTATTTGACCTGATAATAAATTTATGTATACACGCAATTACACGCATGCTCCATGTATTTCTAATGCAAACTTTATTCGTAGTCCAAAAGCTTAGAAAAATCATTATGGTTTCAGTTTTCTAAATTCAATCATAAAAGAGAAAATTGACTTATCTAACCTTTACACACCATGTAAGGACAGTAAGGTTGACGGTGGATCCTTTTTCCCTTTTTATCTTCAAAGCTAATAATTTTGAACAAGAACCTAACAAAACTCATGTCAATCATTGTCCATAATCAAAACCCTCAACAAAATTAATAATATGTGAGTCAATTTATATCAGAAAAAAGGGGCGTTGTTTTGGTTGTTCTTCAAATCATATATATGGAATCTGTCTTTCAATTATTCGTTACTATTATTTGCCATTTCTTTGGAATCATAATTCCCAGTTGCCCATATTTCATTCTGACTTGTTTTGATGCCCTCCAAAAATTTTGTCCTGGGCTTTGATGAAATTAAAAAAATATATATATTCTGCAAAAATTTGATCCATTAAAGAAATGCCCCCCACATATTAATTGGTGTGGACTCTGATTTATGTATGGATAGGAATAGATATTTTGTTACACAGTTAACAGTGTAAAAGACAATAAAAACTCCTGTTGCCATCAACACACATACACACCCCTACTAAGCTCTTATCTTCAATTTTCTAAGCTATTATTTTGTGATTACATTTTTTAAAAGATAAAAGAATAAAATGTTTTTTTTATTAGAATCAACATTATTAGGATGATCCACAATCTTAGATATTTATCCATTCACCTCGGAACGTAAGGCTGATTTTAGGATTGATGATAAATGGAGATTTTAAAAATATAAATTAGCCTAATCCAAATCCACATGTGCATGTATCTTTGATGGCAAGAGCTTGGAAAGTTATGCTTTTTTATTATTTCTCATGCCAAAAGCATGTCTCATCATAACTATTGCATATTAATTGCGATGGCTTTATCAAGAAAAAGAAAAAGGAACGCAATTGATGGGCAGCTAAAGCTATAGATGGAAGATGCCATTCTGAATTGAGTCAGATTTTACTTTTAAAGCACGTATGTAATTTACACACGCAGCCTTGCTTTGTCGATGAATCATAAAATCAAATATCTTATTAAAGTCCTTGATCATTTATAATTTCCCAAAATGACAAATTAATTAATTGTTATATATAAATTTCTCTGGATTGAGGAGTTTTCGGCTTACTGGCTACGGAGTGTGGACTAAAAAAGTCCATCAATATTATTACATTTGCTGTATTCTGCAACAGTTTCAAGCAGAAAATTCCCTAGTTATAGCATCAACATCCATTTTCTTTAACCCCTTCGCTATCTTTTTGGCTTTCAGGTCACTCAGCCGATAAATCAAAACCAGTCTACCATCCTTGATTTCCCGTTCAAGTTCTTTCTCAATCTAATCTCCCTTACCAGCTCTCGAGCTCTTCTTCAGAGACATGCATGTTAAAAATATTCTTTCCTCTTTACACTCTTCTACGGAGATTAAAAGGGTATTGCCACACCAACACTGAGCAATCATGGTCGTTGTTTCCTCTGAGTTGAATGCTAAGTTAGACCAAATGAAAGTACAGTCATGTCAAAAAGGCAAGGAACTTGATACAAATGAAGGAGGGTTTGGTTTTTTCATGCCGAAAAATGAGAATAATGATTCATTTGATAATCCTGTATTTTTTTTTTTTTTGTATTAAATATGTATAAATCATAAAAATTACCTTCTTACAATTTATGATATGTTATATATATTTTATTTTTATCAAACTCGTATATAATTTTATTAAAATTTTAAATTGTATTATTTTTATATTTTTTATTCCATTTTTATAACATATAATTATATTATGTTTAAAATTTTTAAATCTAGTAAAATCTCGTCGATGTTCAATATATAAAAAATAACGTGATAAACAAATTTTTATCAAGCTGTTGGCTATGCCGGCATCCCCCTGACGATAGATCTTCTGCCAAATGTACGAATCAAGCCATGTTCCAATTGTATGTTTCAGGGTTCCTTTTTTTTCAAAATAATTATAATTCTCTCCTAGTTATATGTGAGACAAATGTATATGATAAACAGATAACTTGTTTCCCTAAGAAACGTCCTTTTACCTTCTTTGAAAAAAAGAAAGAAAAATGTATTGGTGTCTGCCCTGTAGTAGCTGAGCTGTTGAAGAAGAGAGGGTTGACTTCGCCACTGTATCAAAGGGTTTTCCTGTGGCGGAGCGTTACTGATCGAAACCATGCATGTGACCTATATGCCCTACCTAACACACTCTCTTTGTTTTTTCTTATTCTTTTTTGTCGGATGGAACCTAAAACAAATTTGATTTGATGCAACCCGAAGTTTCCATCTAAGTTGGAAATAATCATATATAATTAATACGTAACAAACTAATAAATTGGGTTAAGGGCTTGGCTTAACACAAATATAAAATCATGAAATTTTGAAGTTTCAAATTCAAGTTTCGTTATGAATAAATTTGATCAAAATTTATGTTAGATGTATTAGTTATATGTTAATTAATTGATTAGTGATCTAATTCATTAGTTTTTGTATATAATATTTAAATATAATTGTAATTTTTTAATTTTTAATTGATCTTTGAATCCTCTATTTTAATATTTATTTTATTCAAAAAGATATTACTATATAAACTTCAAGTTTTCAACTCTAATAACGTGTCAATTAATACAAAATTCAATTAGCAATATGGTTGTAAATTTTTATAGTATCATTTCATAAAAAACTAATAAATTGGAGATTGCTGTTGTGAATTATTCATCAATCTTCATTTTTCAAAGAAATATAAATATATGTTATATGTATACATCTTTCAACATGTTTCTAAAATTATAATGTTCTTATTTTAAATTTACTTTTAATATCTTAATTCTTAAACATTGGACACCAAGATCTCTTTAGACTGTTTCGGGGTTTTCATCTTCAATATTGTTGGTTTTTAATTAGTGCGGTTTTCTTTA